TCACTCTCTTCCCATGTTTTCTCTTTTTCCTCTTCAAAGTTTCAATCTTTTTTCCATTTTAGATCTACCCTTTTCGGTTGTACGTACGTACATGTAAATTTGAATCGCAAAGTCCAAGCTTTAGTAGCGTTTTAAAAATGGGGTGGTGAATGGTGGTGGAGGTTGTATGATTCTTTTTTCTAAGTATAAACAGAAAGAGAAGGAAAAAAAAAAAAAGGTTAGAATCCGAGGAATGGAGTAGAAGGGGAGGGGGACAAAGCATAGAGTTATCGAGAGGTATATGGATTCCGTTTGAACCCAACAGTGACCTTTGTTGTAAAAGAGAAAGAGAGGGAAGTGGAAGTGTGTTGTTGGTTCCTTTTTTCAGGGTTATTTTTTGGGATTTAAGTTTTTTTTTTTTAATAAAAGGTAGCCAAAGGGGCTGGCTTTTCAGCATGCCACTTGGGTTTAATAAAAGGGAAGGAGCGTCAAGGAAGGCCAGAGACTGAGTGAAAGACAGAGATAAGAGGAGAAATAAGAGAGTAGTGAAGGAGGGACCAAAAAAAAAAAATGCAGGAAGCAAAGAAGAAGAATGGTGGAGCTGGCAATGAAGATTCCAAGAAGAAGGAGCGTCATATAGTGACATGGACTCAAGAGGTTTATTTTTTTTTATTATTAAAAATTTCTCTTCTTTCTTTTCCTCTGTTGTATTTATTTGTTTATTCATTGATTGATTCTTTGTTTTGGGGGGTTCTTTCTTATTTGATGCAGGAAGATGATATACTTCGCGAACAAATCAGTTTACATGGAACTGAAAAGTGAGCCCTTTGTTCTTCATTCAGTGCTCCTTCTTTTCTTTCACTAAAACCATTTTTGCTATTGTTTTATGATGAATGGGATTGAAAGGGGTGTGTTTTGGTCTTATTTGAGCGCAGCTGGGCGATCATTGCCTCAAAATTCAAGGATAAAACCACAAGGCAGTGCAGGAGGAGGTTGGTGAAAAACCATGATGATGATGATGATGATGATATTGCTTTCAAAGAGTTTGCTTGATGATCTTCCATTTTGATCATTTCTTGATTACTGGTTTTAATCCTAATTTAATGTCTTTCCACAGATGGTACACATACTTGAATTCTGACTTCAAGAAAGGGGGATGGTCACCAGAGGAAGATATGCTATTATGTGAGGTAATAATAATAAATTTCTGTCCACTATCTTTGTTCAAGCTAAATGTGGTCACACTCTTTTTTTAACAAAGCTTATCTTCTGGGGAGGAAATGTTACTTTCATTGATCAGTTTGTACCAGCTATTGCATGTTACTGGTACAGTACGTGTTGAGTTTTCAAAACAGCTAAAAAAGGGTTTATTAGAGGTAGGCCAGACCTTAAACTGATTGACACAGTGTTTTGTCTTTGAAAAGTCGGGCAAACAACAACCACTTGAATTTCCAGTTTGGATAAGTGTTATTCTTGATCATTGAATGTGGTTTCTGAGCTGATGCCTCAAGGTGAATCTGCAGGCTCAAAAGTTATTTGGCAATAGATGGACAGAAATAGCAAAGGTGGTTTCAGGCAGGTATATATGTTTTTACAAAAAAAAAAAAAAAATCCCTTGTCGAAAAAGTAATCTCTTTCCTTGCAATCATTTCTTGATTTTCTGTTGTTAGATTATCGATTTTTACTGATATTCTGTTATTAATGCAGAACGGATAACGCTGTTAAAAATCGGTTCTCCACACTATGCAAGAAGAGAGCTAAGTATGAAGCCTTGGCAAAAGAGAACACAACTACATGTATAAACCCAAATAACAAAAGGATTTTATTCCAAAATGGGTTCAATACAGATGGAACAACAGAATGTACTGCTCCTGTTAAGAGAATGAGGTACACCATGGACCTAGAAGTGTATATACACAGTGATGATCAAGAATTATTGTCACTTTACAAATTAAAACCTTCCCTTTTTCCAATCCAGGAGATCCCACATCTCTGATGCCATGGAAAATTGCAATTTCGGAGATAGAGCACATAAAGTATCTGGAACAATAATCAATCAGCAGCTAAGGCATCCATTTGCTGTTTTGGGTCAAAATCTCCACAATGTTAACAATGTAGTCGTGCAATCTCGAATCAACAGTGTTAAGGAAGTCTCTAATGATGGTAAATCTCCTCAAGCAAAAACTTCTTGGCATCTGCACTTGATTCTGTTGCTCTTACTCTTTCCAGACCTGCAAAGAGAAATTTTGACAATAGCAAATCACTCCTTTGAAGTTGTTCATAATATATCACTTATATTATGTTTCTCCTTTATTCATTAGCAGCTCAGAATAACAGAGCTCAAGGAACATTTCTCAAAAAGGATGATCCGAAGATAACTGCTTTGATGCAGCAAGCAGAGCTACTCAGCTCACTTGCATTGAAAGTTAACATAGATAATACAGAACAGAGTCTGGAAAATGCTTGGAAGGTGAGAAGTAAATTTTGTATTTCCTATATGTTTTCGTGTTATCAATATCAAATATGATCATCACAGTACCTTCAAAATTTGTAAAGTGCTAAGTCTTAAATACCCTGGGGCTAACTGTCCATTTTATGCATTACATGTCCCTAACGTTCATCCTATGTTATATTCAGGTTCTCCAAGACTTTTTGAATCAGAGTAAAGAAAATGACATCTTCAGATATACAATCTCTGATATTGATTTTCAACTTGAAGATTTCAAAGACCTGCTAGAGGATTTAAGGAGTAGTAATGAGGGAAGTCGACCATCTTGGAGGTAACAGAAAAATCTGTTGACTTACATTCAGATTTAGAAAAATTTCATACTTAACACTAACTAGTGATTACTATGTTCTAGACAACCCGATCTGTATGAGGCATCTCCAGCCAGCTCTGAATACAGTACAGGGTCAACGCTGATGCCTCACCCGGCTGGGGAAAAAGCAGAAGAAACTCAAGTTAAGATAGATGCACTGCACCAGGATATACTGCCAAGTCATATTGGAGAGCAAAATTGTGGGAGTGAACAGGAGAAAGGTGCTCTTTCCAGTGCAAACACAGATCATGGTAATGAAATTCTATATCTAATATAAAGGCCTAGGATACCTTGTTTATTGACTATAAAGTGGATAAATAAGATAATGTTTCTGATGAAATGTCTTATATTACCACAGTTGAGATAATCCCATCTTGTGATGACCAAACAAACATTGTTGTTGCTTCTTCCTCATCAAGTGCAGACTTCAGCTCCCCAGTCCAAGTCACCCCACTTTTCAGATCTCTAGCAGCAGCAATTCCCAGCCCAAAATTCTCAGAAAGTGTAAGTTATCTTGAATTGTTGATTCTATCAGCTACAGATCCATTTTATATGAAATTGGAGCTCTAGCAGATAATATAATTTGCAGTAGCAGGTAGTCTTTCTTGTTTTATCTTTCTTAAGACTTTAATTCCATCTGCACTTATAGTTGTAGTGGAGTTGTGAGCTTATCAGTGCCTAGCCTACCAAGAACAATACCAGTGTGGATTAATAGTTATGAATCTATTTATACCGTTAAGAGGTTGTTTGAACCATTGCTAGGACTTTGAATTCATTAGTCAAATAGTGTTAGGAGCACTTTGAATTAACATACTGGCAAGGCATTAGTAACTTTTGTGGCTAGTGATGAAAGCATCTATGGAAATGATAATGGCGAAGCTGTTACTAGATTCTTGTCTGAAATTGAAGTGGCCCAAAATTTTAAACCAAAGTCAAATTGAAGTTCCTTCTATCACAAATTAAAACACTATCAATAAGGAAAAAACAAACAGCCAGCCAAATCAGAGAGTAACATTTCATTTCTAAATACACCATGGAGCTATATTTCCAGAAACTGCCATACCAAATATTAAGAAATAAACTTAACAAACAAAAAGAAATGTAGATTACAGAGTGAAAAGGGAGAAAAGAAAAAGGGATAGATTAGAGAATAACAAGGACTGCAGAGTGCTTTCTGAAAACCTAATTCCATTAAGCTTTGTTTCTTGTGCTGTGTCTCTCTATCTCTCTTTTCCCTCACAAATTTATACTATAGGCTTTTCCCATATCTTCATCAATGGTTTACCACTCATAAATTTTTCTTATTATCCACTTTTTCTGCATTTAAGTGAAGAAACCACCAATTGACCATGGTGTATGTGCAAGATATTTTAAGTATTAGTAACTAATCACTAAATTAATAGTCGGATAAGTATGTATAATTCAACTACATGTCTCAACCCCAAAATTTCTGTGAGTTATTGCCAAGGTGTCATCATCTCAAGACAACAGCCCATCTAAGCTCTAAGAAAATGCTAAGAAACATGGTGAGGCCAACTAGGATTCCGGATTTTGCCTAAGTGAGCTTTGATCATAGTGCTCCTTGATAGTAAAAAAGAAGTTACTTAACTGAATCATACTTTCCTCCATCGTGCTAGAAAGTATAGTCTGGATGACAAATTTCTAACTAATCCAATAAGGATTTTTTAAACTGGAAATTTTAATTTTGAAAAACATTTTAGGATTTTATTCATGCTCAAGTGGTAACACTGGTTCAGTCCATGTTGCAATTCCAATTACTCATAAATTTCCTCCGGTCTGTTCCCCTGTCATATATGTTTTTTCTCTAAGATGAGAGCATGTGAAACTCAAAATAGAGTTCTGCACTACTTGTATTGTTTTTTCCTTTTCTTAATCTAATATATAAATGCTAGCATACACACCTGCAGGAACATTATCTCAAACTTTCATATGAGACTGACCACTATGTTTTTGTTTCTTTTTCAGGAAAGGAACTTCCTACTTAAGACACTTGGAATGGAGTCCCCTTCTCCTAATCCAGGAAACAATCTTTCACAACCACCACCTTGCAAACGAGTCCTCCTCCATAGTCTATAACAAACCTCTGATCATCTCTTATACTGAAAACAACATTGCTCTATAGTCAATATATCTCATCATTCGTTCCCTTGAGCAACATAGCTCATGTTGAGTTTTCATCCATTTTTTTTCATCCTAGGATTGCAGCCATCTTGGCCTGGAATTTTACAGCAAGGCATTTAATGATCTGCTTTCCCAGCTACTGCTTAGAATGTTTTGGTGCATTCTAGCATCTCAGACACATCCAATAAGATGTCCTGAGCCCCATTAATTTTTCTCTTCAAATTTCCCTTTTTTCTTACTAGAGAGTACTACCTTAATACTCACATTAAAAACAGTGTGTGCTTGTTAGTGTGTGTCATTCTTTTGTTTGTCATCTCATCCGGAGTGGTTTCGGGTATCTCTTCTTCCATCCTTCTGATCCAGTTTTTGTCCTTGATTTGTAATTATGTACAGAACCTTCTATATAAAATCCTTAGAGTGTAATTATACATTGGCAGCTTGCCTACATATGATAAAAGAAACAGAGGAAGAAAAAAAAGTCATAGTAAAGGAGGATTAACCACTTGATTCGATTCCTATTCAATGTTGTCCAGTGTGCAGAGCGTATAGAATAAGGTTTTTGTGGTTTTCTATCCTGATTTCTAATGTAATGATACTCGATGTGATTTGAGTGAAAATGTGTTTTGGCTTTGGTGTGCATTATTAGCTCTCTCTGACTCTTTTCTTATACAATTTCCCCAATTTGAGTTCATCCATTATGAAATCTAAATAGACAGAAGATGTGACAGTTTGTTACAGATGAAAAACATGATGCAGGTAGCCAGGCAGCAATGGAGTCATGAACTTGAATCGTTTTGGATCTTTGGAAAAACCGTGCACTGAAAAGAACAGACAAAAAAAATTGCAGAGAACACTTGAGATAGCAAGCCATTCTTAGTGCAATATTTCCATTACTTCCAGAAATCAGAGCATTATCAAACTGATGTTTTCTCTTTCTTTCGAAGAGGAGAAAACCAAAGGGAACATAAGAAAAACAAGAATGTAAAATGCAGCATACTTACAGATAATGCAAAAGAGCATCCATTTGGTCTGGCTAAGCATTGAAACGGAATCACCCCTTTCTTTCCCTTCCTCTCTTTCTAACCGAACCTGTCTCTGACCTCTGCTGTGTTGCAGAGAAGAAGATTGCTGGAAAACTCTGTTATTAAGGAAGATCATCCGTGGGGAGGGTAGCAGGTACAGTGGCGGACAAGTGTAATTATGACCAAAGCAAAAGCAAAAGGGTAAAAAGAAGGGAGGGAACCTCATACAAATTAAAGTGACACTGGCCATAAACTTTCTCGAGGGAATGGTGCGGTTTGACTGTTTTGACCCCAAGATCCCATGCAAATGATGCAGGGTTTTGGCCCAAATATCACTTCCAAGCCCACTCTGGAATTTCTGTAGAGAGGCTTCCCAAATTGGAATAGTGAAAAAACTGAAGGGAGAAGCCTGGGGTTGGCTTGTCTTATCTAAATTTGACGAAGCATAAACGTTCAAATTCATCTTAACTGCCAGAAATATTGAAAGGTTGTGAGGCCTGAGAAGTGAAAGTGAACCAAATAATGTAATTACAGCTGTATCCTGGATATCAAAGCCCTCTTTCATACCTTTATATGACCAGTTCACAACCAGTTTTTCGAATAGAACACTTAAAACTTACACCTTATCGATACAGATGGTTCTTTTTTCCTCAAATGAAGATCTATTCAATTACAACTACCAATTTCTAAGTATTGATTAAAATTTGAGATCATTGAACCTTAGGTTTACAATGATAGTAGGTCAAAAAATACAAAAAGACAGAAAGGGTTATCCGTAAAGCTCAAAACTAGGCCTCCTTCAGGCCTTTCTCTTCTTCTGCAGCCTCCGCAGCTTCCTCCACTTCAGGTAGATTTGGTATGACAACCCAGAGAAGACCATGAGTACACAACCCCATTGCTTTGCAGACAGGGGATTGCCACTCAGCAGAGAAGACACCACGATGCTGACAAACTTGCGTGTGGTGGTAATGGTTGTGTTCACCAAGGAGCCAAATCGACTTATGGTCAGGAAAATGAAATTCTGGCCAACAGCACCGCAGAGGCAATAGAGGAAAATATCCCAGGCAGCTTCTGGATGCTGCCTGCAAAACTGGACTGCCTCAAAGCCACTACCATGAGGCCATCCAAACATGTAAATCATGTTGTATATGGTACCCCATAGGTTCATTCCCAACATGATATCCCAAGCACTTGTCTTTGGATGCCTAAGCAAAGGAAACCAAAAAAGATTGAGTGAGAAAATCAGTTCTGATGAAAATATCTACGATGCTGGAAAAGGAAACAACTTATGCACATTTTCAAGGCCATAGCAAGAAAATGGGGGAACATAAGTTTGATGTGTCAGCAAGCTGGTTTGTTCAGTTCCCATGTATCTTTGTTGTCCAAAATTCGTTCTTTAAAATCTACATGAGCTGACATCTCAGTGAGAAAGTGATCGAGAGAGCGAGAAAAAGCCTTTAAATTAAAATATCTACGAGCATATTTATTGGTTAATTCGATTATACATTGACACTAACAAAGGCATAAGGGGATAAAAACAGCAATCCTGTCACATCATGCATGCACAATCAGTCTTCATGAAAATAGCCAAACACGAAAGATAAAGTGGGAAAATGTTTCCACAAACATACCTTGCAGTTATTGAATCCTGAGTGGCATTTGTAAAGCCATCAAAAGCAAGGTTCAAAAAACAGAGCCCATATCCAAGAGGTGCATTGGGATGTGCCAACTTGCTAATTGTTTTTGAGCTAGTCTGGAATAAAATTAAAGCAGACACAAGTGCAACATAAGACTCAGAAATGAAATGATGTAGGGGGTACATCATCACATTTAGTCCTCCAATATGCGTTGTGAAGAAGCAAGATGACAAATAAAATTCACAAAAATAGAAGTAGCATTGTTATAACAGTCTAACAAATAACACATTTCTCACCTTCATAAGTGCAAATGTAGATACCCCTCCAGCCACAAGGAAAGTACAGATATACTCGGGTAAAGTGTATCTAATACCATAAACTAGAGTTCCCATCAACATGACTGCATAAAGGTAAAAATACATTATTAGCTATAGCTAAAAATTCATGATACAGAATTCTTTAACCTAAAAAAAAATTAAGAATAGTAACACGTCCCTTGCAGCTGGAACACACTACCAACTCAAAAATTAATAATGCTTTACATGATACTAATAACATACCAATCAATGAAGATCCATGAGAAAAAGAGTATATAGAAAATAAAGTATATCTTACCTGGAATCATTTTTGAGGATTTTGCCAGCACCTGCAAGTAAGAAGAGCAACATCAAATGCTAAAACAAATCAACTTAGCTGTCACTGGAAAATCAACAGTACTAAGGAATAAAGCCCCAGTCACTAGTGAGAAAACATTTACGCTCAACTGTATTGATGGCATTAAATTAAGAAATGTTAATTGTTTAATTACATACATATAGAAGTATTGTGCCAATTAAGAAAACCAGAGTAGAAAAGGCATCATTAATTAAGAATTTAACACCAAAAGACTCCAACAGAACATGTCTCCCTACACTAGTACCCAAACTTGAGATCTCAACCATTTGCCAATTCATGTTAAATCTTAATGACCAACACAGAGAATTACTAAAAGTCTAAAAACCAGTAAAAATAAAATGCGAAAAACGTCTACAAGTATGGAGAATGTTAGACATGCCTGAGCAGGGTAACTGATGTATTTTAATGCTTCTATACCCATGGCCGGACCAATTGTATTCGTGATTCCAGCACTCCAGTAAGTCCACCAGGGAGCTCCGCCACTGCTGCTACTGGACCAAAGCTGTATCACTGCATAGGAATCACAAGAACATACACATTATTACACCCCAAATCATCGCAAGTCAATGGTAGAGGGAATGGAGAAGCTTACTTATGTATGACCAGACTAAGCAGACCACATTTTGCGCCAAGTTAAGGAACGCAAGATGCTCAAACCTCTTCCCATCGGGACCAAATCGCTTGGTGGACCTAAATGCCAAGACATCTCATAGTTCAATTAATCACCTCTCTATCCACTTTTTTTTTAAAAAAAAAAATTGAAGTTTCTCGATAACAGCACTTTGGGAAAGTGAAATCTGGAAAATGCCAACGGAAAATTAATGAAAATTATTTAAATGAACACTTTGCAATTTTCAAGAAATAGATTCAATTAAAACGAATGGAATAATTCACTGAAAATTATCCTAATCAAAGCAAACTAAAACAACGGTAAAGTATTCACTAAGATCCAAGCTTTTCTCTTCTTTGCATCTAAATCAACTTTGAAATTAACTCAAAGAATACGAATAATTTGTCGCACATTGAAATCAAATGAACAACTCAGAATCTTTCAACAACAGATCAAACAAAGCAACGCCTAAGCGAAAAATATCCAACAAGAAATTCAAAAAGAGAAAAAGAATATAAACTAAAAAATACTTACAGAGTTTCCTGAAGAACACCCTGATAAATATAGGCAGACCAAATCCCGGCCACGCAAAATGCCAACACGAACACTCGCCGGAGTCCGGCGCCTTGTAATTCCATTTACGACGCCGTTTGATAACTGTTTCTCTTTTTATTTTTTTGTCCAAAAAAATGCGAAAATTATTAAAATCAAAATAAGGAGATCGAAGAGCAGGAACGAACGAGGCCATTGTTATAAGAGGGAAAAAGCAGCGCCAAGTTACGTGGGTTGTCCACGTGGGTTTTCGTCATTGGATGAGTGACTTCAAGATTCTTCTTTGATTGGTTAAAGAAACGCGGACTTCGTATGTCCCTCCCAGAACCCCTTCAAGAGCCATTGACTTTTGAGGCAACTAATAAATAAAATGGAAACGGTTGGGCTAGTGACTTGGACCTATCTGGGCCCTACGGCCTTTAGGGTCCAAGAATAAGAATGCTTATGGATCGGGCTTGGACGTATATTTGAATCCACAAGACCTGTTTAGTTTTTTAATTCAAAAATATTGTTAAAATATCTAAAAAAACTCTTAAATTATTTTAAAAAAATTTAAATAATTTTTTATTTTTTGTTATGATCAATCAAGCTTTTTATTTTATTTTGAGTCAAATAAATATTAATAATTAATTAATTATTATTAATTAAAATAATATTTGTTATTTTTATATCACGTGGTACTAGAATAATATATTATCATATCATAATTGACGATAACGTAATATATTGATATGATATTTTTCACCTCTCATATCAGTGTCACGTGCACTTTAAATGACATGCTTTTGATAACAAGCTTGAACCTATTAGCAAGCTTCTGAAAGGCTTTTAATAGTTTCGATCTATTTTTTTTTAAATATGCAACTTTAATAAAATTGTAATCAAAAATAAATTGAAGTTAAGAGAAAATTAAGATTACTCATAAATTATTAGAACTTGTAAAGAATATTAATGGAGACTCAGTTGTGCATCTTAGGTTAAAGTTGGAAAGAATACAAGACACTCGAACTCTTGATCACATCAATCATTTTGTATGCCCTAATATGAGGTCACAAACACCAATTAATTATGTTTCACCTTTAAATCATTTCTCTTTTTCGTGAACAAATATATTTTTAAGAAAAAAAATTTCGATACTTGAGTGCGATAAAATTAATATGTATTCATATTGTACTCATTTCATGATGATGATGATAAACCATTGAAGAAATTATTTCATCACTAAATCACATGTACTTGTTATTAAATCGAATATTCCAATACAACGAATTAATATGCCAAAGTACGCTGGCATGCATGAGTCATGGACTCGTAGCTTAGTGTTTTCGTGACGATGAACCCTTGAAGAGGATATTTCATCGCCTGATTTTGATAACGATAAGGCTACGATGAAGGCCTTTCATTGCGTAGCGTGAAGGGAAAAACAAAAATGGCCCATGACCTTGCCAGGCACGACCACCACGCTACAAAATGACACGAATATGCTGGGTCATGGCCTGGACTAGGCACCATCTTTTCTCTGAAAACGATTGTAGAGCATGAGCTACATGTTCCTGCTTCAGCAATGACATTTCACTATATTTCTGCATATGCCACCTACTTTGTCCTCCCTTCCTCACTCAATAATTTCATTGGACGAGATATGGTACAGTAAGTTTAGTATAAGAAAATTACACACTGTCATGAATTTATGTTTTTAACTTAAAAAACATATTTAGTAGATGATAGAAAGATCATATATATATATATATATATATATATATATAAGATTTATTTTATTTTTTTATTGACGTGTGATTCATTATATTTTATCTTACTTAATTATGTAACGCATTCGTTACATTAGCTCTACTCTTAAAGAAAAAAGAATCTTACATTAGTTGAGATCTACTTTAACTTTTGTATTTTTCATGAAGACCTCACATCAATAAAAATTTAAGTTTTTTTTCATTTAACTTGTCACATATCCACGTTCCAATCTAAAAACATACTTAATATTGAAAAACTTATATTTATATACTTAAAATTCACTCTATTTTTTACTGAAATGAAATCCCTGACAAACAATTTTAAAAGAGAGTCATTTTTATGCTATTTAACATCATTGAT